CCTGAGGGTGGAATAAAATGAATGCTCCCAGGCCTTACACCTGCTATAAGAGGCTTCTGGTCAATGGGTCTTTGGAATACTGCCATGTTAGTTAGGTTGGAGACATCTGGGATCTTTGATTCTGTGCCACAAACCATTTCCCTTGACCATGCCAGAACCCTCCTTACCCTCTGAGCTCACCTGGCCCTGCCACCCGCTATTCCATGACCTTCTCTCAAAGGCAACAGAAAGATCACAAGATACTGCAGGCAATCCATTGGTGTGATCAGATATTTTGGAGACCTCTTGGCATTTGCTTCCTGGTAACTGTGTGGTAACATTCTCTACACCAAACATCTCAAACTCAACTGTCTACAAAAGCCAAGTAAGTGCCCTAATGAGTGAAGTCGGCCAGGCAGGAACTAAGAATTACAGAAAAAAGGCGTCCGCCGTCACCCTTGCTTGAAATGCAGCCCTTCAAGACCTGGTCTTACTGTTTTTTGTTTTTTTTTTTTGAGACAAAGTCTCACCCTGTTACCTATGCTAGAGTGCAGTGGCATGATCTCGACTCATTGCCACCTCCGCCTCCCAGGTTCAAGCAATTTTCCTGCCTCAGCCTCCTGAGTAGCTGGGATTACAGGTATGCTCCACCACACCCAGCTAATTTTTTGTATCTTTAGTGGAGACGCGGTTTCACTATGTTGGCCAGGCTGATCTCAAACTCCTGAACTTGTGATCTGCACACCTCAGCTTCTCAAAGTACTGGGATTAAAGGCATAAGCCACCACACCTGGCCTAGTCTTACTATTTTTAAGAGCTGGTGATCCAACTTTCTTTTTTTTAGATAGAATCTTGCTCTGTCACCCAGGCTGGAGTGCAGTGGCACGATCTCAGCTCACTGCAACCTCTGCCTCCTGGGGTTAAGCGATTCTCCTGCCACAGCCTCCTGAGTAGCTAGGATTATAGGCGCCTGCCACCACTCCCGGCTAATTTTTGTATTTTCAATAAAGACAGAGTTTCACCATGTTTGCTAGGATTATCTGGATCTCCTGACATTGTGATTCGCCTGCTTCGGCCTCCCAAGTGCTTGGATGACAGGTGTGAGCCACCGTGCCCAGCCTATTTATTTTTATTTCTATAGGTTCTGGGGGAACAGATGGTGTTGGGTTACGTGGATAATTTCTTCAGTGGTGGTTTCTGAGATTTTGGTGCACCCATCACCCGAGCAGTGTACACTGTACCCAATGTGCAGTCTTCAATCCCTTGCCCACCTCTCACCCTTCCCAAGTCCCCAAAGTCCATTGTATCATTCTTATGCCTTTGCATCCTCATAGCTTAGCTCCCACTTATATGTTAGAATACAGAATGTTTGGTTTATTTCTGAGTTACTTCACTTAGAATAATCAAATCCCCACACACCCAGGCTCAGGGCTCCTCCCCAGGGAACTTCTGAGGTGTGTGGAGTCACAGGACAGAAGCTAGGAAACTCTGGCCTCCATCTCATTCCTTTGGCAGCCAAAGCTCTTAGGGTTTTAGAGGCGATTTTCTTTTGTCTTTTCTAAGAATTGACATCATTAGTCTCATCTTGACTTGCTTCAAGCCCTACTTGTGAACCTTTGATGGGGTCTTCCCCCCAATCTGACTCTTCTCCATTTTTCCAGAAAAGGGCTTACATAGGAAAGTCACATGTCCAGGAGCCTGCAACCTCTGACTTCACAATTGGAAGTCTAAATGCTACAACCCCTTCCTCTGAGCCACCTACTATTGTTGCAGAATTGTGTGACTGAATCTTGTCTCCTTAAAACGACTATAAACTCTCTGAGTGCAGAGATTGTATTAGTCAGGGCAAGCTATGCTGCTATAAGAAATAGTCCCTACATGCAAAGGTTCAATACAGTAGGTGTTTATTTCCTGCTTACAAGGCAGTCTTTGGCATGTGTATGTCCATGTGGTCATTCAGGGACCCAGGGTCCCTGTGTTTTATGGCTCCACCTCACCCTAGTTCCTTATTGTCATCCACATTCAGCTGATGGAAGAGGAAATGGGATGAGATGTGTTCCCAGGAGGCTTTGCATGGGTTAGACCTGGAGGGTGAACACATCACATCTGCTCATGTTCCACCTGGAAAAACATATCTGAGTTGCCACATCAAATTGCAACTGAGAATGAGAGATGGAGTTCCTGTGTCTCCAAGAAGAGTATGAATTTGGCAGGAGGCAAGGCAGGTCAACTCAGGCGTAGCCCTTCAAGGCGTACACAGCACACCCAAAGCTTCTGCAGGAGCATCGTCCACAGCTTGCACCTGCTGGTTTAGTCCTTAGCCGAGTGAACACCTCCTCCATCTACCTGACTACTCCAAGACTCTAAGATATTCAAGGGCAGTAGCATGGTGTCCTCACTTTTGCACACTCAGCCCGGAGCCAGCACAGGCTGAGTGCTTTGCAAGAGGCATTGCACTTGTGCTGGATTTCTGCTACTTGCCCTTAGGGCTCTCCATGGCTGTGCCCTGGGAGGCAGACCTAGGTGGCAGTTTCGCTCACTCCTGCAGGGGCTTAGTGCAGATCCAGTATGCAATCCAAGTATCCAGTCCAAGAATGCAATCCCTTGGTCACCTCCCTGTGGGTCTTCTTGGGCTGTGACTCTCTCCTGAAGGTCCCAGCTGCTTTAAAGGTGGCTATTCCCACACTCTCCTCCCAGCTTCCAGTAGCCAATTCTACCCCGTCCCCTTCAGGCTCAGTGAGTAACGGCTCTGTGCATTTTCTCTTGTTCTTTCCTTTCCCTTCCCTTTACCCTTACAAATAGCCTTTCGAGGAAAGCCTCCACAAACGATCCTAATCTGAACGTGTCCTCTTTTTCCCACCAGGACCCTGACTCACACAGAACTTAATTGAAAACACAGAGCCTGCGCCCGCCCCGCAGTGTGCCAAGAAGAGAGGTGCAGACCGCGCTCTAGGAAGGGCGGTGTCTCTGAGCCTCGTGATGTCGCCCAGTGCACCCAGTACCAGGTGCCGGAGGGCTGAGTTTCAGGGCTGGCAAACCTGAGTCCACATTCAAGTTCTATCCCTTCTAATAGCTGATAGCCATGAGACCCCTCACAGGTTCCTTCGTGTCTAAAGTCTCATCTGTAAAAGTGAGAATACCTCTGTTTTGAGTGTTGTGAGGGTTAAATGCAGTGAGACACCTACCCTGCTTGGCATGTGGTCTGGAGTGGAGTGAGCTCCAGCAAACATCAGCCATCAGGATCATTGCTCTGATCCACGGGACCCTCATGAATGCAAATGTCCAGCCAGACCCCACTTCTGAAGATGCAGTGCAGGGGGGTTGAAGTTCTCCCCATCCTCCTCCTGGGCTGCAGAGATTGCAAAAAAGACCCACAAGGATACAGGCCGCAAGCACCCATTTTGTGTAAGCTCCCACGTGAGAGGCGGGTATTCACAGAGCAAGACCAGGGGGCTGAGAACAAGCAGGAGATGAGGTGCACTTAGAGAAAATCTCTTGCTTATTTAAATATTGCACTTGTGAAAGACAACAGAATGAGAAATGTGGGCATTTGTGAGAAATAAGCAAAAAGGGAAAAAACAGAAATACAGTATCAAAAATGTAGAAAAGGATTACGTTTGACATAAAGTGTTGTACCCTTAAAATATCTGCAATTCAACTTCAGAATGAGTGTCTCTTTTAAAAATTCCGTGAAAACACTTCCTCACTTGCTTTGTCTCTTTTCTGTATAAGGGATTTTCTCTTTAATTCCCTTTGGGAAACTTCGTATAAATGAGGATTTGCATCTCAAGGGAATACTCCATTTAGGAAAGTGTTTTATTAAAAAAAAAAGTTAAAATAAATAAATAAAATTAAAATAAAGAAAAAGAAGAAAAACAAAGTTTACCACAGAATGCTGAGCAATATAATTAGCTTGTCCCTTCTGTTTTATTTTAAAAGGCGGTATGTCTGAGTTCTCATTAAACATATTCTCAGCACGTTTGAAATGCGATGGTGCCTCAGAAATGGGCACTGAAATGAATGAAGCAAAGGCTCGGGGAGTGTAAACCAGGAGGCAGGATCTCTGGCCACGGGGCAGCCAGCAGCGTGGCTTCATGTCTGTCTCTGTGGATGAGGCTACCACAGATTGGTAAGGCCGTCCCATCCTACCGTTGATGGGATGCTGCCCTGTGTTCTGGGAGGCCACATGCTAAAAGAGCTGATCTTATTTCACCTAGGGCAGCCCAGTAAGGCTGAAGGAGTCCTGGGGACTGGGCATGTCATAGGTTATCATCTCTTAAGTCAAAATTGCTAAGGCCCCTGCCAACTCTGACATTCTGATTGAACATTTGGGTGTTTCCACTGGCTTCATTCTTGTCACATAGCACAAGAATGCTCCAATGATCACACTTCATTTTACTTCGTGAACTTAGGAATAAAATATGAGCTGCAGAATCTTGCTCTTGATCTTACTATCTAATGCCAGGCTGGCTCAACCATGAGAGGCAGTGTTGTGCCCTCATTTACAAAACAAGTGAGAGGATGTTTCCCTGTCTCCCCTCCGGAGAAGCAAATCACCTGGAAATGGAAGCATGCTGTCCCCATTCAGAAGGATTGGCTAGGAGCCCATGGGAGTTTAGAGTTTAGAAATGTGCCCTCTGGACAGGGCTCAGTGGCTCACACCTGTAATCCCAGCACCTTGGGAGGCCGGGGCGGGCAGATCACCAGAGGTCAGGAGTTAAAGACCAGCCATGGCCAACATGGTGAAACCTTGTCTCTACTAAAATACAAAAATTAGCTGGGCATGTTGGTGTGCACCTGTAATCTCAGCTATTTGGGAGGCTGAGACAGAATTGCTTGAACCCAGGAGGCCGAAGTTGCAGTGAGCCAGGATGGCGCCGCTGCACTCCAGCCTGGGAGACAGAGTAACACTCTGTCTCCAAAAAAAGAAAAAAAAAGAAAAAAGAAATGCCAAATACCTCCTCTGAATCCTCCTGCCTGGGCACCTTGTGAGGCACCCTCACTCTTCACAAAGCACTTTCTTTTTTTTTTTTTTAAAGCGATGACATTTATTCCTTTTCCAAATGTTACAGTAAAACCAGGTAGAAGAGAATGGTTTTAGCAGTTAGAAAAAAAAAAAAGTGCAAATCTGGGGCTTGGCCATTAAAAGTTATTTACAACAATGGGAGAAAAAAAGACAAGAAGTTGTTTCACATTACAGACCTCCCCCCACCCCAAAGCCTAATACTTGCCTACCAAGTCAAAAAAGAGACACAGTTGATTCACAAGCTGGAGGTTTGAACTTGAGTAAGACATTTATAAAAACCTAGATGAGGCAGTGTCCTCCCCAGCCCAGATGCCACTAGGCACAGCACAAGAGACTAAAAACAACAGGGGAAGGCTGGACACTGAAGGTTTGGGAGTATAAGCACCTCACTTCTGGCTCAGGGATTTGGGGAGTAGAGTAAACAAAACCTACTTGGAAAAGAATTGGAAGAAAGCCAACAATTACCATATGCAGGGGCGGGGACAGGGAAGGAGGTAGGGCCAGGGACAGAAGCATTTCACATCACTAACCTAACTTGGGAAGCTGTAAGGGACCATCTTCAACTGGCCTTAAGAGGAGAACCAGATGGCTGATGGGAGAATCCACAGGAGGGAGAGGAGGAAAGGGAACGTGGCTGGGAGGAGGCAATAGCCCCTTCGTTTCTGGGCACAGGAAGGCAGCCAGGGTACCAGGTCCAGGCAGTGACCTCACAAGGACAGCACAGTTTTTAGCTTAGAGATCAACCACCTGCCCCCACCTAGCTACTCATTCTGCTCAGCGCTGGCTGCTGTAGGGCCACTGTCCAGCCCGGAGGGAGTGGATGACTCTAGCCTCGGGCGCTGCCTCTTCTTCTGAGGCTGCACTAGCCTCTGCCCCCTTGGCCTGGGCCTCCTGGCTCTCTGGGGTGGCAGCAGCCTTCCCTTCCTGGGCAGTGACCTCGACCCCGTCGCTGCAGGCACCGATCGCCCCCTGCTCCTGCTCTTCCTCTGTGGGTGAGGAGGCAGAAGAATCACCCCACCCTCCTTCCGATTTCTCTTGAAGGACAGGCCGCTCAATTTGAAAGGCTTCTTGAAAGAGAATTTCTTCTTCTTGAGGGTCTCCTTGGGGGGACCTCTCCCTTGGCCTCAGCACACTGGCTAGGGGGTGCTGGCTCGATGGCATCGCCAGTGGCCCCAGCTGCCTCATCTGTTCCGTTCACGGGGGCCGACTCCCCTTCACCCTTAGGGGATAAGTCTCCATTGCTTTTCACGTGGCCATTCTCCTGGGCGTTGGCCTTCCCGGTGGAAGCGCCTGCTGCCTCGTCGGCGGTCACGTCGCCCCGGGGAGCCTTGGAGCTCTGGCTACCCACAATGGGGGTCTGCTGGGGGGCGCCCGGAGCCGCTGCGGGCTCGCGCCGCAGGGGATAGTACCGCGGGGTCGGCCCGGCCCGCGGAGGGGTGGGGTGGCGCCCGAGGGGGAGGGGTGCCGGGGGAAGCCAAGCTGCACCTCCGCTCCGCGGCCAACCGCTAGCTGTGCCCGCTACCGCTCGGCGCGCCAGAATGCTCAAAGCACTTTCATTTTCACTGACACTTCTCTCTGTAGCCACCACTGTCAGCAGGATTTGACACAGTTTCATAGCACCCCAAAAATTCCTTTGTGCTGCCTTTTTTTGTAGTCAAACTATCTACCAGTCCTTAAACCCTAGCTGCACACCAGGAATGCCTGAACCACTGATCTGTGAACTCTCATTCATTGCCGGGGGGATACAAAATGCTATGCTTACTTATACACACTCTTTCCATACAACCTAGTGATCACTCGCCTGGGGTATTGGAACCCAAAAGAAATGAAACACATGTTCGTGTAAAACCTGCATGTGCCTGTATATAGTGCCTTTATTTATAATTATCCAAAACCAGAAACAACCCAGTTGTCTTCCAACTGAGGACTGGATAAACAGACTTTGGTACATCCCTGCAACAGAATGCTTCTCAGCAATGATACAAATAAACTCATTGATACACTCAACAATATGGACAGATCTCAAATGTGTTACATCAAATGGAAGAAGCCAGACTCAAAAGTGACCTTCTGTATAATTCCATGTGTGCTACAACCTGGAAAAGGCCAAGCTATAGGAAGAACAGATCGGTGGTTCATGGGTTCCTGGTGCGGGGCTGGGGGTTCAGGGAAGGAGGATAGTTTGGCTACAAAAAGGCTGCAAAAGGAGTTTCTTGGGGTGAGATGAAAGTGTTTCAAATTCTGATGACAGTGGTAGCTACATGACTTTATGCATTTATCAAAACCCAGAGAACTATATGCTAAAAGAGTACGTTTTACTCTATGCAAATTAGGAAACAAATTTTTTAAGACCTACAGGCTTGGCAGTAAATGTGGTGGTTGTTTGAGGTTGACCCCCTATCCCCCAATACTGATTTTATTCTACTAAGGATGCTCAGTAAGGTATTAGATCATGACCTCCCCTGGAGATGGAGAAGTCTCCAGATCTGCGGCTGGCCAGCTGGAGCTCCAGGAGAGCTGATGGAGTTCATCCCAGACCAAGGCTGGGGGCTCAAGACCCATAGAGTGTGTGCTTAGGTTCAAGTCCAAAGTCTGGAAAAGACCAAGGTCACAGCTCAAGGCAGCCAGGCAGATAACCCCCAGGACACATCAGTGGAAGCTGGAGGATGCCAGCCTCCTGGACGTGGAACCTCAGAACCTTGGTTCCAGAAATTAACCTCAATGGTTAACCTCAATTAACCATTGAGGTAAACCATTGAGGTTAATTTCACACGTCCATTTGGCCCACAGAGGGCAGACATTTGGCCAAACGTTACTCTGGGTGTGTATGGGGGTGGCTCTGGGTGAGATTAACATTTCAATTAGAGCACTGCAAAGCTTTGGGAAAGCTTTTCAGTCCACATTGGCTGGCCCCAATTAGCATGGATGTAAACAAATTGGCTCACCTCCATGAAGACTGCTATGAACATTGGGGCTGGCTCTAATGTGAGTGACAGAGAACACTCTATTATCTGTTGGCTGACTTAGACGAGAGCCACTGTGAATAACTGTGCAGGACTTGATGAGGACAGCTGTGAACACCTGGGCTATGCACAATGAAGACAGCTATGCACAGGTGGGCTTAGCTCAAGGAAAATGGCTCTTCAGCCCTGGGCAGGCCCCCCATTAAGAAGCAGCCTGAACACCTGGGCTTGCTGCCTTATTGATTGTTATGAACACCTTAGATCATCCAAATGAGGATGGCTATGAACAATTGGGCTGGACCCAATGTTGACAGTTGTGAACACCTGAGCTGGGCTGAATCAGGGTAGCTATGAACACGGGGACTGGCTTGGATGAGTGTGGCTATATCTTGGCTGGCCCAATTGGCATGAGTGTGAGCACACTGGCTGGCCCTCAGGAGGATGGCTGTGACCACGTGGGCTGTGCCCAGTGAGGACAGCTGTGAACAACTTGGCTAGAAACAAAGAAGACGGCTATGAACACTTGGGATGCCAAGATGAGGAAAGCTGTTAACAGCTGTGCTGGTTCCAATGAAGACAGCTATGAAGACACCTGAGTTGGGTCAGATGCAAACTGATGTGAACACTGGGTTGTGCCCAGTAAAAAAACAAAACAAAACAAAACAATTAACAACTGGGTTTTCCCCAATGAGGATGGCTGTGAACACCTGGCCTGGGCCCAGAGAGAACAGCTTATAACACCTGAGTTGGCCTGATGAGGATGGCTGTGAACACTGGTCTTGGCTGATGAGGACAAGTATTCACACCCGAGCTAGCTGGCAGCTGTGATCACCTTGGCTGAACCCCATGAGGAAAGCTTTGAATACCTGGGCTGGACACAATGTGGACAGCTGTGAACACCTTTCCTGGGTCCAGTGAAGGTGGCTATGAAAACCTAGACTGGGCCCAGTGAGGACAGCTGAGAACATTTGGGCTACACTAATAAGAGCAGCTGTGGCACCAGGGCTGATTGCCATGAAGACAGCTGTAAACACCTTGGTTGCTCTCCATGATGAGCACAGCTATGAATGTCTGGGCTGGGCCCAATGAAGACAGCAGTGAACACCTGGCCTGGAGTCGATGAGGGCCACTGGGAAAGTTTGGCCTGCCCTCATGAGGATGGCTATGAACACCTGGCTGGGCCCAATATGAATGGCTCTCAACACCTAAACTCACCTGAAAAAGATGCTGTGAGCAACTGGGCTAATCCCACTGAGGACAACTATTAATACCTGGGCTGGGCTCAAGTGAGGCCGACTTTGGCTGGACCCGAAAAGGATGTCTGTGAACACGTGGGCTTTCTCTGATTAAGACGGCTTTGAACACATGGCCTGGGCCCAATGAGGAAAGCTGTAAAAACCTAGGCTGGAACCAGTAAAAGCAGCAGTGAATGACCAGGCTGGTCACAGGAGGACAGCTTTAAACACTTAAACTGATCATGATGAGGATGGCTGTGAATGCCTGGGCTGGCCGAGATGAGGAGCACTATTAACTCCTGGGATCCCCCCCCACCCCAGTTAGAACAGACATGAATACCTGGTCTTGCTCAAGTAATGATTGCAATGAATACCTGGGCTCAGCCAAGGAGGACAGCTGTGAACCCCTGTACTGAGATAAATGAGGATGGCCAGGAACACCTAAGCTGGCTCTAATGAGGATAGCTATGGATACCTGAGCTGTGCTTAATGGGAATGGCTATATACACCACGGTTCAGCCAAATGGCAGCACCAGTAAGGACTGCTGTGAAAGCATGGGTTGTTCCCAGTAAGGACAGCATCGCACACCTGGGCTGGGCCCAGTGAGATCGGATGTGAACATTTGGCCTGTTGCAAATGGGGATAGCTGTGAACACCTGTGCTGGGACAAATGAAGATGGCTATGAACATCTGGGCTGGGCCCCAGGAGGACAGCTTGGAATAACTGTGCTGGGCCTAAAGCATATGGCTATGAACACCTGGGATGACCCCAGTGTGGACAGATATAAACACCTGGGCTGGGCTCAGGAGGACAGTTCTGTTTATTTTGGCTGAGCCCAATGAGGACAGCTGTGAGCATCTGCACTGGGCCTAATTAAGACACCTGTGAACACCTGGGTTGTCCCCATTGAGAATACCTGCGAACACCTGGCCTGAGACCATGGAAACTGCTGGGAACACCTGGATTAAGTCCAGTGAGGAAAGCTATGAACACCTGGGCTAGGCCCCCTGAGGACAGCTGTGGACACATGGGCTGGCCCCCATTGGCTGGCCTCAATGAGGATGCTGTGGACATCTGTGCTGGCTGTCATGTGGATGACAGAGAACACCTTGTCTGGCTTAGATGAGGACCACTGTGAACACCTGTGCAGGCCTGGATGGAGACAGCTGTGAACGTCTAGGCTGGGCACAAGGAAGACAGCTCTGAACAGGTGCCTGGGGCCAATGAAAATGGCTCCAAACCCTGGGCTTGATGTCATTAAGGGGACGTGTGAACTCCTGAACTTGCCTTGCTATTGATTGCTATAAAAATCTGAGCTCATGCAAATGAGAAAGGCAGTGAACCTATGGGCTGACCTTGATGAGGACGGTTGTGAACACCTGGCCTGGGCCCAATGAGGACAGCTATGAAGAGCTAGGCAGGGCCCAGTGAGGTCAGCATTGAACACCTGGGTTGGCCCAATGAGGATGCCTATGAACACTGGTCTGGGCCCAGTGAGGACAAATAGTGACACCTGGGCTAGCTACCAGTGAGGGCAGCTCTGAACACCTTGGCTGCACCCTATGAGGACAGCTTGGATTATTTGGGCTTGGCCCAAAGTAAACAGCTGTGAACACCTGAGCTGGGCCCAGTGAGGGCAGCTGTGAACACCTGAGCTGGGCCCAGTGAGGGCAGCTATGAAAACCTAGGCTGGGCCAGTGAAGACAGCTGTGAATACCTGGCCTGGGTCCAGTGAGAACAGGTGAGAACACTTGGGCTAAGCCAATAAGAGCAGCTGTGGCACCGGGGCTGATTGCCATGGAGACAGCATGAGCACAGCTTGCCTCCATGAGCACAGCTATGAACGTCTAGGCTGGGCCAAATAAAGACAGCTGGCTGGGGGCCAATGAGGGCTGCTGTGAAAGTTTGGGCTGCCCCCATGAGGATGGCTATGAACACCTGTCTGGGCCCAATAGGGATGGCTCTTGATAGACACCTGGACTCATCCCAGTGAAGACCGCTGTGAACAACTGGGCTAATCCCACTGAGGATGACTATTAACTCCTGAGCTGGATCCAACTGAGGATGACTTCGGTTGGACCTGATGAGGATGTTTGTGAACACCTGGGCTTTCTCTGATTAAGACGGCTATGAACACATGGCCTGGGCCTGACAAGGAAAGGCTGGACGCCTGAGCTAGCCCCAGGGAGGGAAGCTGTGAAAACCTGGGCTGGAAAGGGCGCAACCCAGGGACTCCATGGAAAGGGCGCATCTGGTGAAAGGAACTGCTGTGCTTGCAGAGGTGTGCAGACCCAGGCTACTGGTGGCCTTTCCAGCACCTGCCTGGCTCCCACCTACCTGGCTGCTACCTCACCACACTCTTAACCCTGTCCCACCTCACCCTACTCCTACCTGTGGCCCTGCTCCTAGCTAAGC